GCAGAGACTCCCTGACCTGTGCCCCGCCCATTCCCACTTCCTGGGGCGCCTGCTTTCTCCCTGAGTGTGTGAAGCCATTCAGACGCTGCACTCTAAGGAGCTGCCTCCTGGGGCCCAAGGCTGGGAACCCACTCCCGGAGCCACGGTAAGCCGTGTCTGACTTTACAGGGCTGTTCTAAAGATCATCTCTGATTTTCTTTCTCCTAAAATAGCTGTTTCCATGGTTACACTCACTTATCAGGAGCCCTTAGAGGAAATGCATTTTGGAGAACAGTAGAGACGATGCTTTAATTTTCACAGTCGGAGCTGAGAAACTCAGCTTGGGACGGCGTCTCTCGCTTGAGGTTGCGAGGACCCTCAAAGTCGTGCAGAAAGCACAGTGCCCAGGCTCGGCCCTCGGGAGGTCCTGCCCCACCAGCCCTCAGTCCTGGGCTGGGAGTTGGGAGCCCCGGGGACTCCAGGTCCGGCCCTGAGCTAGGATGCAAGAAATGGAGACAGGGAGAGAGCAGACGAGGAAAGTCTGATTTAAGAACTGTACCTGAAAGACTGGAGCTTCAGGAGGAAAGTTATGCAGGCCCTGTCCTTGCAATGAGGTCACCACACAGATTCCTAAGGTCTCGAGGTGGCAGCAGGCTGCACTCCGCCTGTAAACTGTGCTTCCTCCCCCAGGGAGTGGGCAGCAGAGCCAGCACAGACCGGGTAAAGGGTTTGCTAACAACACGCCTGCACCAGGAGGCGCCTGCACCAGACCACGGTCCTGAGGACCTCCCAAGCCCACTGAGGCCCACCTGCCCACGCCGCACCCCTTCTGAGGGCCACAGAGGTTGCTCTGTGCACTTTCCATCTGCCTCCCAACCTCTTCTGCTGCTCCTGTTGCGCCCTTGACTCTCAGGAGCAGGGAGCCTGCAGCCTGGGTCTCCAGGGCCTCGGGGTTGGGTGGAGGCCTGACTCCTGGGATGAGGTCTGGTGGGATCCCAGCGCTACCACTGCCTGCAGGTCGCAGAGTGGACCAGAGGGGGCGCAGGTCAGGGGGAGCCTGGCGCTGCCCTGAAAGCTGCCCAGGAGAACCCCCTTCCCCAGGGCAGCAGGGCCAAGCTCCCTCCTTGGGAGCCACGACGCACAGCACGGTCCCGTCAGCCTTTGCACTGTGCACACAGCTCATGCTGCAGCACACCTGGGGCCTCTGCACATGCACACTCATACATGCAGGCACGAGGTGTGAAGAAGCCTCACGAACACCCTGGGGACCCGGCCTGCCCTTGGGGAGAGGCCCTGGCCCCACAAGGAGGTGGAAGGAGCAGGCGGAGCCTGCAGGATGCACCAGGCCAGCCCTGACCTCGCGTCTGCTCATCCTGCCTGGACCCCTCCAGCCTCCGGCCACCCTGCTTCTTAAAGCTGGGGTGTCATTCACAGAGCACACAACTCCACACGACTCCGAGGAGTGCAGCCCGGGGGTCTCACGTGGTCCCCAGGCTGTGTGACCATCGTCCCGTCCCATCCCAGAGCAGAGCCCCCCTGCCCCCGAGACACCTCTGCCTTGGCCGTCACTCCCAAGGCCTCTGCCCAGCCCTGGTAGCCGTGTGTGCACCTCTGCCTGTGCTATCCACCTTCCGGGATGTTCCTATGAATGGGGCCATTCACATGTGGCCTCTGCGTCTGGTTCCAAGCCTGTCTATGGTACAGCAGGGCCTGGGCCATCTCTTTTCACTGCTGTATAGTATTCCACAGTGTGCACACATCATGCTTTTTTGTTTAGCCCTAGCAGAATTTTGGCACCTCTGAGACCTCCCATGCCCAGATAAGTCCATGACTCCACCTCAGAGGAGGTGACTGAACAGGTCCAGTACTGCCCTTCCTTGAAGGCCTCCAGGTCCAAGGGGCAGCACGGCTGAGCCAGCGGGCGGCACCCTAGAGTTGCTCCAGGATACAGGTCTAACCTCTTGGGAGCAACTCGGAGGAAGGGAAGAGGACAGGACACGGGGGACCCTTGTGCCCGCACACGGGAAGGGGTGGGGCTGCAGAGCTGGAGTCGGGTCCGCAGCTCAGAGTCAGCCTCGAGAGGCAGGGGCTCTGGTCCACACGGGGCCACACGAGGCCCACCACGGGATGCAATGGAGCTGAGACCTGCTCTCGTGGTGACACCATGGTGCAGCGGCTTCCTGCAGCACTGCGCTCGCTGCCAGGACGAGCAACACAGTGGCCAGGACTGTGCACAGCACCCAGTGCTTGAAACCCCAACACACGGCGGTGCCCTGGGCGTGTCTCCTGTAGCTGCCTACCGTCCTCTCGGGGTGTGCACCTTCCACGGTGCCCTGTGACGTCTGTGGTCGCAGCCCCTCCCGGGGGCCTCTGCCTGTGCCCCATGGCCTCAGTCACCTCCGCCCCGAGAAACGCAGTCCTCCCACCTCCGGACGCCGGGAGCTGCGCTGGGAGGGGAGAGGCTCCTGGGACGGGCCGCCCGGGTTGACTCGAGGGTCGATGCCCCAGGACTTGCCGTCACCCGGTCCTTTCTGTAGGAAGCGGCGGTGCTGGGAGGGCAAAGCTCTGTCCTCTGACGCCCTCTCAGCAGCCAGGACGCTCACGGCCCTGCGTGGGCCACAAGCTCACCAAGATGTGGTTCCTCCGTCAACCCCAGAATCTGGGCGCGGGGGCCCCCCGGGCGCGCTGTGGGGGGGTGGGGCCGCGTGGTCCGCGTCTGCGTGTTGGGGGCGGGCTCTGGGCGTGGGGGCTGCGTGTGGGCTGCGTTGGTTGGGTGTGCTGTGCGGTGTCTGCGCTCTGGGATGGGTGCTTTGGCCGGCTGTGGCGGGGCGGCGGGCCGAGGGCTCGCTTTGTGCGGGCGGTGGGGGGGTCTGGCTTTGATTTCGTCGCACGGCTTTTGTTTTCGGTGAGGGGGGTCCGGCCTGGGTCTCCGGCGGGGGGGTGTGTCTCGGTCGGGCCTTTTTTCTTCTCTCAGGGCCGCTTGGTTCCGCTGGGTTTGTTCTGGGTGTCGTCTTTCCGTTTTGTTGTTCCTCGTGCCGGTGTGGTGAAGCTCTGGTGAGTGGTCTGTGTTTGTCTTTTGGCCGGGTGCCTCGGGTTGCAGAGGGTCGCTCTTGTGGCTCTGGGCGGTTTTTGTTTCGGTCGGGCCGCGGCTGTGGGTGTGCATGGCTTGGTGGGGGCTGGAGGTCCGGCCGCCCGGTGGCGCTGGTGCGTTGGCCGGTGGCTAGTTTTTCCGCGGCTGTGTGGGTGCTGTCTTCTCGGGCCGGGCTGCGGGGCGGAGCTGTTCCGCCGGTCCTCCTGGGTTTGGCTGGTGCTTGGTCCAGGTGGAGTTGCTGGGCCGGTGTCTGTGGGTTTGCACCGGGGTGTCTTTTGTTTTTTTTTGTCGGATTCTGGGGTTGACGGAGGAACCACATCTTGGTGAGCTTGTGGCCCACGCAGGGCCGTGAGCGTCCTGGCTGCTGAGAGGGCGTCAGAGGACAGAGCTTTGCCCTCCCAGCACCGCCGCTTCCTACAGAAAGGACAGGGTGACGGCAAGTCCTGGGGCATCGACCCTCGATCTGAGGCTTGGCTGACCGACGAAGGCTCCCTGAGGCGCTGCTTGTAAGAGCACTACGCGTGGCAGGGAAGGAGGGCTTGCAGACCCCTCTTGCTCCCTCCTTCTCTCCCCTTCCTCCTCCTCCGCTGTACTCTGCGCCCTGTTACCTGTGTCGCTGTCCCTGTCCCACTGTACTCGGGCTGGGGTGCGTCCTGGAGCAGTGGGGCTCGGGTGTTGGGTTCTGGGGGCCAGCCCCTCTTCCCTCTTCCCAGCAGGTGCCACCTCCGGATCCAGGCTTCCGGGCCTGAGCCAAAACCGAAGCGGGGCTCCTCCCTTCGCAGGTGCCAGGCGGAGGACTCAGCCCTGCCTGGCTGTGCCTGGCGTCCCACACCTCTTGCGCTCAGTGAGTGGCACTGGAAGCACCCCAGGTCTTTGGGAGCTGCACCCCCTCACCCCCTCGGGGCACTGACTCGAGCTGCTCTGCCCGGCCCTCCCTGTACCCCACCCCTGGGTCCTCTCAGGGGACCCCATGGCCACCTCCTCCCTCCCCAGATCCGGCCTGCTGGGCTCTGGCGGGTGCCTGGTGCCATCACAGAGGGAGACGTACAGCCACCGTGCCCTCCCAAGAGCGGATCACCCTCTCTCTCCAGAGGCTGGTGTGAATCCTGCCGGCCCCCAGGCAGCGAGCAGGACCCTCAGAGTGCCCAGATTGCAAGGTGCAGCCGGGCCCCGGTGCTGCCCCAGTCACACAAACAACAAGTTATACACGGCCTCTGTCATCAGAGGAGCAGGCGCTTCTAGAACGCTCAGTATTTTACATTTCTCTGGGGACATTGCTGCCTAACAGTAATAGAATGTACCTAAAGTAGCAAAGGGAAATAGGCCATCAGTGTTTCAGGGAAAATGGAAAGCTGACTCCAGCACCTGTGTCCTCTTCTTATGCTTTTTCATTAGTCTTCTCTTGCCCTCAAATACCTACTTAGAAATGACTTCCCATCTACGCTTCTGATGAGTATAAGATGAGCTCATTACTTCAAGTAACAGCATGGACTTCATCATGAACACCGACACTGTGGGAGGCTGAGGCAGGAGGATCCCTAATTCAAGGCCAGTCTGGGCAACTTGGCACCTTAATGAGACCCTGTCTCAAAACACGAAGCAAAATAAAAAGGCTGGGGTGGTGGCTCAGTGAGGAGGCCCTGGCTTCATCCCTAGTACTGAAGAAAATTAATTTGGGGATCTCTGCTCCAAAATTAAAATACAGTGAGGGATGCTATACACACTCAGTTGAAATGGCCTGCTACTCTTCTACAGACGGAAAAGGCGAACAGACAAAACCAGCCCTGTCTTGGTTCCCCCCAAAACTCTGATTTCTGCTGGATGTTTCCTATTTCCTCCCCGCGTGTGTTCGTTTTGAAGGCTGCTTTCGCAGTGAACCTCACTGGGAGCCAGGAGACTGGGGTGCCCGGCCGAGGCCGCTGCCACTTACTACTGTGCGCAGTCGATGAGCTGGTACTCGTTGGACCTCTCGAAGCAGGCCTTCACCCCCTCGTCGTCCCAGAGCTTCTTCACGTGGTCAAAGAACTCCTGCGTGGGAAAGAGGCACAGGTGAGAAGCCGCGTGGGCCAGGGCCGTCCACCCAGCCCAAGGCAGCGAAGCCCCGGACGCCTGCGGGACGGAAAGCGCACGAGCCCCACTCCGGAAGCCGGGAGCAGAAGGTGGACCTGAGCTCTGTCTTCCACACGACACTTCTCAGTGCGGGAACTGAGTTTTGTCCAGTCCTGAAAATGCTCCGTGTTAGGGTGACCTGCGAGGCGGGGTTCGCCCGCGAGCGAGCACGAGGTCACAGGTCACGGCGCTCCCCTTCCCTATGGCAAGCGCCACTGTTCTACTGTCATGCACATCACTGTCTTGACCACAAGATCAGGAGGTAAAGGCGCGCACGCGCGTGTGCGTGCGTGTGAGATGCTGAGGTCCTCGCCTCCTGCACTCAGAGGTGCACCCAGACTCGGGCGAGCCCCGCCCACCCATGAAAGGCCGATGCACCGACTTCCCGGACTTCCCGCTCCACGCTGCCCTCTCCTTCCTGACCTCTCCCCTCCCGCGACCCCCGCGACCCGACCCCTGAGATCCTTCTCCCGAGCTGCACCCCCGGGAGGGCATCTTGTCCCTCCTGGAGCAGGCCGGACCACAGGCCGGGAGGCGACTTCCTGGGACAGAGCGGACTCGGTCCGCCACTGAGATCGTTTGGACCAAAGAAAGGGTCTCAGGACAGAAGCCACGCCAGGCAGATTTCCTAAACACACCGAGCAGCTTCCTCCCTGGGAAACAGGAGATCTAAGAGGCTCTGTCCTTCCTCTCTTCAGGGAGCTGGTGGGCAGCAACTTAAGTCTGTGGGGCCTGTTGGCGTTGGGAGCAACTCCAGTCTGTTATTTATAACTCCTGTCTGTTCCCAAATCTAACACAGCACTGTCATTGCTCAGCATCCAGGGCGCTGGCTCCAGAAACCCGTGGACTCCAAGACCTGAAGATGCTCAAGCGTTTTGTACCAAACTGCATGGAATTTCCACAGAACCCAGGCCATCCCCTGTGAGCTCTAAACTCTGGGTTTCTTATCACACCCGACACAGTGGAAACCGCCTTGTGAATAGGTGTCGGACTGTGTCGTTGTGCGAACAACAAGAAATAAAGCCCGTGCATGTCAGGGCAGATGCCTTTTCCCTCTCAAACATTCTTGATTCTCAGTTGGTTGAGTCCTCAGAAGTAGAACTCGTGGACACAGCTGACCAAATGTACGTTTAAGATTCTATTTAGGAACAGTTTCTGAAACTGCGCTTAAACAAAAACAAACAAAACCCTATGAAAAAAAACTGATTAAAACCCCAGCAGTCCCAAGCCCGTACCTTTGCTAACAAGCAAACAGCAGCAATGAAACCAAATGAAACAAAGTCACTGCAGGTCAGCCAGAGCCCTTAACGTCCCAGGCTGTGGTCTGAGGGTCGTCCACACAGCCCTTCCTGACTCAACCCCGGGTAGGCGATTCGGTTCCCGTTTCCAGAGGAGGAGATCAGGACCAAGCACATGGCCCATGTTCACTTGCCTGGAAAGTGGTTAGGCCTGCTCTCAGAAGTGCACTGGGCCCAGCCAGCCTCTGGGACCGAGGCGCCGCACGTGTATGGACCACATGAGCCACATCATCTGTTTCCCATGGCATGAGGCCTACTTCAGCTGTTCTCAGAATCAGTTTAACACAGCCTCTCAGGGCCCATTTTATACGCCATGACGTTCACCTGCTCTGCAGTCACACAGCCACCAGCCTGGCAGGGTGGACGTGCTGTCCCCTCAGCCAGGCCTCCCCTCCTCGGACGCCCAGCCCCGTCCTTGCTGCCTGCACAGCCGTCGTGAGTTGCTGTGCTTGGCCTTTTCTAGGAGTTTCACAGCCGCAGAATCAGTCTTTTGTGTCTACCTTATTTCTCTTAGCGCAACACACATCGAATCTGCCCATTTTGTTATTCACATTGGCAGTTTGTTTTTTATACTGACTGATGGATGACTGATTGGGGTGCTGGGGATGGACCCCAGGGCTTTGCACATGCTAAGTAAATGCTCTGCCTCTGACCTACACCCCAGATCTCTTTTTCTCTCTTAATTGCTGAGTTCTATTCCATGCATGAACACCATATTTTCTTTATTCACTCATTGGTCGATAGCCATTTGGGGTATTTGCAGTTCCTACTCATGTGGACAGTGCTGCTGAGGATATTCATGGGCAAATCTGTGTGGACAGTTATTTCCACTTCTCTTGGGCAGGATTGGCATTGCTGGGAGAGGTGGTAAGTACTGGAAGTAATTAACTTTAGGGACCGCCAAGCTGTCTTCCACAGTGGCCATTCCATTTACATCACCAGGAGACCCAGCCAGGAGTTGTAGTTTGTCGTCCTCCTGATGCTTAATTATTCTAGGAGGTTATTACATGGGGTCACACTCTGGCTTTTGTTTGCAATCTTTTTTTTTTTGGTACCAGGGATTGAACTTGGGTCCTTGTGCAGCAGGCGGCAAAACCGCTGAGCTAAATCCCCGGCCCCTTTTGTTTGCAATCTTTAAGGACAATGTAGGACATTGTTTCATGTGATTGTTGGCCACTGGCATATCTTCTTTCCAAAGTATCTGTTCAAATCCTTTGTTCATTAAAAAATTGGGTAGTTTCTGGTAACTGAGTTTTTTTTTAATTTAAATTTTTTTTTTTTTATAAGAGTAAGACAGTTTTTAGAAACTATGAACTGCCAGGAATGTAGCTCAGTGGCACAGTGCCTGCCTGGTAAGCAGGAGGGCCTGAGTTCGATTTCTGGTACCAAAACACAAAACCAAACCAAACCAAACCAAACCAAACCAAACCCATGGACTGCTACTGCAAAGCATTACCCCATGCGTACTTGCTCTGAAACTTTCTTATCAATAGAGAACATACTCAAACCTACCTTGTATTAAAAATAAGAGATTTCCCATGCTTTCCTGTGTATATCCACACTTAATACTCTATTTCCAAACACACCTTAATTTCAAAGTTTCTTGGACTTAGTTCTACCTTTATTGGAAGCTCTTCATGTCTCCCAACCCCCTCCTGGAATTGAGAAGCCATCACCACCATTCCATCACCAAGAGCGACCTTGCTTTTTTGAGTCTGGTGTTTACTCTTCTTTTTGGCATTACAAATAAAGTCATTAGAGTACAGAGTGCCTGCATTCCCATTCTTACTGCAACACAGTTCTCAACAGCAGAGCTATGGAAACAGCCTAGCTGCCCAACAACTGATGAGTGGATAAAGAAAGTGCAGTACATAACACAACAGAGTATTATTCAGCCGTAAAGAAGAACAAAATCCTGTCCTTTGTAGGAGAATGGGTGGAAGTGGAGATCATTGTGTTAAAATAAGCCAGCCTTAGAAAGTCAAATATCATGTTTTTTCTCATGTGTGGAAACAAAAAATTCAATAAATAAATTAAAAAGAAGCGACTTTAAAACTCATCTAGATTCAAATCTTTGTCAGCAGTAAGTTTTGCAAGCATTGTCTCTTGAATTATAGTTGCATTTTAAAAGTATCTATTGATAAAGATTTTACTTTTGATGTCAAATTAATCAAATTTATTTTCTTTTAGGGTTTTTGGTTTGATCAAAGAAATCTTTGCCTAACTCAAAGTCAAAAGTGTTTTTTTTGGGCTGGGGATTTAGCTCAGTGGTTCTGCTGCCTGCCTTGCAAGGGCAAGGACTGGAGTTCGATCCCTGGCACCAAAAACAAACAACAAAAAAACCCCAAAAACAAAACAAAAAAACCCCCCAAAAGTTACAAAAGTGTTTTTTTCTAAAAATGTTATAGTTTCAGCTCTTTCATTTACATCTAGATCCATGGGTATTAACTTTGGAGTGTGGTGTGAGGAAAGGAACAGGGTGCCTCTCCTTCCACACAATGCCCTGCTTCTCTGCATACGCAGAAAGAACTCTTCCACGGAGTCGCCTTGGTACCTTTGCTGAAACTGACCATATAAATGTGGGTCTATTTAGAGACCCTCAATTCTGTTCCAAAGATCTATGTGATAAGTCTTTATGCCAGCACCAGACTGTTGGTTACTGCGCCTTTCTAGTAAGTTTTTAAATTAGGCAGGTTTGATTTTGCTTTGTTCCTGAGTTGGGAATTGAACCAGGGCCTCGGGCATGCAGAATATGAGGTCTCACACTGAGCTCATGCTCAGCCTTAGAATCAGTCACTTTAAGTCCTTTAATTTTGTTCTTTATTCCCAACACCATTCTGGCTATTCTATGGTCTTTTTACTTTTCACACATACTTTAGAATTAGCTTGTCAGTTTCCATAAAAAAGCCTGCTGAAAATTGTGACACGGATTACACTGAATCTCTAGGACACTTTGGGAAGAATACCCGTCTTAATCACAAGTGTTCCAATCTATGAACATGGTATATCTATTTATGTCTTATTTAAATTCCCTGAATAGTGATCTGTAGCTTTTAATGTATAGCTCTTTTACATACCTTTTATTAAATTCTTCCTAGATAAGCATTTTTGGGATGTTATTTTGAGAGCTGTTTGGAGGTTCTAGCAGGGGAGTGCAGCTACCCAGACACCCTTGATGGAGGAAATGGTCCTCCTCTATGGGGTGGTCATCCTCTTCCACCAAGCATGCAGCTTTGGGAGGGATGCACGTGGAATGGTGAGGGAGGAAGAGGACACCCGCCCTGCCAGCCAGGTCAGCCAAATCAACCCAGGCCAGCAGTGGAGTGACAGATGTCGCAGCCAGATCGCTCTCACATCCTGGGATGTTATTTTGTTTTTTAAATTTATTATTATTATTTTTCATTAAGTTTATTGGTACATTTTAGGTATACAATACAGTAATATTCATCACTGGGATCTTGTACTTTACATTATGTCTCTTGGTTCTTATTTTTCCCCATTCCCCTGCCCTCCCTTCACCCCCTCCACCCTTCTCTATTTACAAAGGTTTTGTTTCCATTTTTTCCTTTTTGCATATTTTTTCCTTTCCCTTCCCCTACCCTCTCACTTCCCCTACTCCTT